AATCTTTGTGACTAGCTTGATTAGAGATGTCTACTCTTGTTGATCCCATCTTGTGGTACCTTGGGTTGTGTCTACTCTTGTTGATCCCATCTTGTGGTACCTTGGGTTGTATCTTTTGATGGTGAATGTTGAGACTTCGGAACTCTCTTGTATTCTGTATGCAGAAGATCCCAAGCTGCCTTGGCTGATTCTTCATCCGAGACTCTTCTTCCTCCAAGGCGCTGTGAATTACTTGTAAGACAAGCTGATCCTTGACTTCTAATTCTTCCCATTCTTTTACCGATTTAAGTTCTTCCTTCATCGGTATTTCACTTATTTCTGGCCGAAACAATAGTCCATAGAGATCTAGACCTTAGTATTTTTCTTATTCCAACAGGGTCTTCCACCATGGATTACGGTGAAACTCGAGGGAAACGGAAACAGAAGCAGAAAAATTCGGTACCGGTACTCTCAAAAAAAACTTCTCAAGAATACTTCGAGGGTAGACTGGAAGATGTCAAGGCTGGGGAGAGTCAATACCCTCACTTTTCTGTGTCAATGTCGATTCCTGAATTCATTAAAAGAGGGGATTGTGTTGAAACATCTCCTGAAACATCTCTAGCAGGTATATTAGCCACTAACTAATGATTTCAGATAGCTCAGTTAATCATTTTGTTTTTAAAAACTTTCATAGGGCGAATCATGAGCAAGCGGAGTTCCTCTTCCAAGCTCTTCTTCTATGATCTACATGGTGATGGTTGCAAGGTCCAAGTTATGGCTAAAGCAGATGAGTCAACGTTAGATGAAGCTGAGTTTTCAAAGCTCCATGCAAAAGTTAAGCATGGGGACATTGTTGGTGTCATTGGTTTTCCAATGAAAACAAAGAAGGGAGAGTTGACTCTCTTGTCCCGGTCATTCACGCTTCTATCCTATTGCCTCCACATGATAGCAGATACTTCGAAGGTAATTAACACAGTTCCATGGCTCTTCTTTTTATGTTTTTATATTGTCCTTTATGCTCTAAACGTTTTCACTTATATCTTTTTTGTAGAAAACTGAAAACTGGTCTCCAGGGCAACCTCGAAATCCTACATCTTATATTCTAAAGGATAAGGTATCTATCATTTTCTTGCTTTATATATATAGTCTTTATTATTCTGATGTTCTTGTGTTTTTTTTTCAGGAAATTATATATAGACAGAGGTACCTTGACCTCATGATCAACAATGACGCACACAAAATATTACTTGCCAAAAGTAATATCACCAGCTACATCCGATCTTATTTGACCAAGCAAAATTTTTTGGAGGTATGTTTATCTCTTTTTCTTACCTTTTCATTTTCAACTTTAAAAAGTTTGCTTATACTTTCTTAACTTTCTCTAGGTTGAGACACCTGTCATGAGCATGAGTGTTGGTGGAGGAGCTGCCAAACCATTTTCAGTACACCATGGTGATAAAACTACAGAAATGTATCTGCGTATTGCACCTGAGCTTTATCTGAAGCAGCTTGTAGTAGGTGGACTTGGCCGTGTGTTTGAGATAGGGAAGCAATTCAGAAATGAGGGTATTGACATGACCCACCATCCGGAGTTCACCAGCTGCGAGTTCTACATGGCTTATGCAGACTACAACGAATTGATGACAATGACTGAGGATTTGCTGAGTGGTTTGGTGAAGGAAATAACAGGTGGTTGCAAAATCAAGTATCATGCTAATGGGTATGATAAGGAACCAATCGAAATCGACTTCACTCCTCCATTTAGAAGGCTTGATATGATAGACGAGTTGGAGAAAGCGGCTCAGCTTGAGATTCCTAAAGACTTGGCCAGCAAAGAAGCCAACACGTATCTCATTGCTGCTTGTGCAAGGCTTGACGTCAATTGCGCTTCTCCCCAAACAACATCACGACTTCTAGGAAAGGTATATACTCTTTTTTCTCCTCTTTTGTCAAGATTATGTTGAATATTTAATATTTCTTCTTTTGCAGCTTGTTGAAAAATATTTGGAAGAGATGTGTGTGAATCCAACATTCATCATTCACCATCCGGTGATTATGAGTGCTTTTGCCAAAAGTCAAAAACATAATGATGGTTTTACTGAGAGATTTGAGCTTTACATAGCGAAACAAGAAGTAAGTGTAAACCTTGCCTTTTTTATTCTTGTTTGATGGATGTTTGATAGGAAAGAGCTTATTTCATTTGTTTATTTGTAAGCTATGCAATGCTTATACGGAGTTGAACGATCCGGTCTCTCAGAGAAAGAGATTTGATCATCAGCTGATGGAGAGAGAATGTGGAGATGAAGAAGCCATGATTTTGGATGAAGGTTTTTGTGTTGCACTAGAGCATGGATTGCCACCTACAGCTGGTTGGGGCATGGGGATTGATCGCCTAACCATGTTTTTGACAGATTCTTTGACTATCAGGG